ACAACAGACTCTCCCTCAGTCTAACCCAACACCTCGAGGCAGCATCAGTGCCAGGGGACCTCGCTCGAGGTGAGCTACCCCCTCGGCCCTCCTGTTAACATGTCGTTTTCAGTCTTTTGGGACTCCCTCGCGTATCTCTCGTAGTCGACCCTTACCAGGTGGGCCGCACCTTATGCTATCATTTCCATCAAGACTTTTACAGGCGTTGACCGACGGAATGCTCACTTCCCGAACTTCGAATTTTCCCAGCGTTCCCGTCACCCCCAAGCTCCCCCAACCTCCATCGCCTCTCTCTACAGCACGTTCGCATCAATTGCCCACTGGTTTCGACTACAAGGTGAGGCCTCATTAGCGAGCAACTGCAGTTGTTTGATGTGTGTATCATGTATGATTTCAGGTGGTTCTCCCCACCCCACGAGGCATTACTGTGGATTTCAATCCCTCTACCAGTGCAGCCTGATTGTCGATGCTGCTCACGCTTGCATCCATTGATGATAGAATATTCCCTTAACGATGTGTCATGATGCATAGACATGGTGCTGTCCCTTGTCACGTCTTGGGTTATATATCGATAAATACGTACTAGCCGTCAATGTGGACCCACATCACTGCACCAAACTCGAGGATCTCAGTATGAAGATGATGGAGACTACTGTACCAGTAGATATCCCTGTCAGGTTGAGTTTGTCACTATATCCAACAACCTCCATTACGATCAACGCCCCGCGAGCACTGAATGCTCTCAATTAAACCATTTTCAGATCAACACAATTCCACCCACAATAGAAACAATCAGGCAACTTAGTGAGCTTATCATAGCTACTTCCGAGGGCAAAGCTTGACTCACGGAGTGTATGCACTGAGTTGCACTACGTAGCGGAATAACGATATCGAATTGACTACAACAGCACGCCATCTAGAGGGCCTTCAGCGAGCCACTCAGTGAGATCATTGATAACCCGCCCAGTAGAAGCCTAAGGTAAGCACACAAGCAGGTTATTGACTCAGACAACACATAAACTCCGCGTTCCCACCAACTTCCCAGACTCACCTTAGTAGACTGATAGACATCAAGGAGTTTACGAGCTGAAAAAGTAGAGCGTTTACTGGAGACGTTGTGAACCCAACCACGCCCTACCAAAATCACGAGTTAATTCTGGTTCTCCTCCAAGACCCTCCACATGAAGCTTAGCAACATCAATTCGTAGATCCTCACCATTGGCCGATGCCAGAGCTACGAGCTGCGCGAGACCCGCGTCGCAAAATCCACCAGCAAGAGCGCGTGCTCCTGAAGAGGAGACAATTTGCACAAACTCCATCTTACAATAGAAAGACCCTACAGACAGAAGGTTAAGACCGCGCAAGCGCATTCCATTGTTGTCCCCTGAGGGGTCGCTCGAACCATTATGTGCACTACTATTGGCCCTCACAT